TCCGCGTATAATTCTCGTTTTGCGGTAGAATTAAACTTCGTGGCAAGTTCTACTGTCTCGTAATCCTCAAAGTAGCTTTCGGGACGTGGCGAAATGTTATGAACTATGTAGCGATTTAGAGTATATCGTTTCTGGGATTTTGGTGATGTGACATGGATCGATGTGTTTTGACGCCAAAAATTATATTCTTTGATTAACGTTGGGAATGCATGAAAAAGTAGGGAAGTATCATTGGTAGCTTGATAATAGATTTTGACCATTTGGACTAATAACGGTGGTTGCGACCGATTGAGATAGTAGATTCTTGAACCATTGGCTTTGTCAGATAATAATTCAATATTAAACAATCAGAATAGATCATACTTTTTTTTTTTTAAAAAAAAGAAATTACTTACGAACAAACCCGTATGTCTCAACAAAATCCAAAAAATTTAAAATCATATCCTTTGCTACCCCATACAACTCACTAACCAACAGTCCTTCAATAACAAAGTAACTATCCCAATAATAAATTTCACGAAATCTACCACCGGGAATCACAAAACTTCTATTCATCGGTATGAAGCTCGACACACATCCTGCGCACATAAAACTTTGATCAACCTTACGTGCTAAGTTTGGCCAATAATTGTGAACTCGTATGGCGAATTCGTAAAGTATAGGAGATCTGATTTTTTGAAGGAACGATGGGTGGTAAGGGAAATGGTCGAGAGTAGCAGGAACAAGTTCTTGACCTTCGGAACCGAAATATGTAGATATGAAATCGAGGAGAGTGTCTCTTGATGCATTTTGAGGAATTCGTGAGAAGGCAGCAATAACTTCTTCTAATGGCTTCAACGTTGGCTTTGTGATGATATATTGGTACGTTATTTTAATCATATGGTGATCCAAAAATGAAACTTTCCAGCGTTAAGGGATTTTACCATATCCACAAAAGTTTTTGAGTCATTGAATACACGATTCAATTGAATCTTTTCGAGAAACGGTCCTGGACAATATATGGGCGAGTCGCAAAGGTACCGATATGACGCGTTTACACTCAAATACCCAGGATTCACCGCAACTAACATCCAAGAAGTAACAAACACGTGCGTAAATGTCGTCCACTGAGTTTTCATTTTCTTTTTTGCAAAATGAATTTCCGAGTAAAAGAGTGAAATTTATATAAACCGTCGTCAACCGGTTTGTAACTGGCCCGTCAAGTCTATCATAGAACTCCGCTATAAAGCCACATGCTAATGTCTCTACATATAAAAAAACGACCTAACAAGACTAAAGTTTACTATATTTAATTTAGCTTCAAATTTCGTAACCATGTTCGCAACATTTTTATAATTAAACAGTATTTATATTGTAATCACTTGGTTGATTCTATTGATATTAATTATTATAATTAATTAAATCATCATCATTCAATTAATATAAGGCTTAAATATATACATTTTTTTTTTAGAATATTGTTAAGGTGAAAATAAACTATATAAATAAATGGACACAAACAAGAAAAATATATAAAGAAATATGATAGACCTATCAAGGTATTCAGTATTTCTAGTATATTCTGGTATTTTGAGTTATCTATCTGATAACAAGTAGTATAAAGTAAATAACAAGTATAAAGTTGTATAAATTATAAGACATAAAAAGTATAAAAGTAAGATAATGATATAGAAAAAAAGGGAGAATTACATATCCAAAAAGGTTATTCATCTAGAAAAGGTCACTAATCAAGAAGTGATCATGCAGGAGGTTGCTATTCAGGATGCAAGATTGACAGATCGACCTGCATTATTGTCAAACTCAAGTCAAATATACATGTTTTTTTTGATAAGGAGTTATTTCCTATTGTAACATGGCATAGGAAAAACAGAAGTAACAGACTCGCCATGTTTCACCATAACAATATAAAATAAAGTAATTGAATTTTTTAAAAAAACATTATGAATCTATACATATACAAAATTATCATTTGAAAGATGATTTTCATTAAACAATTTGATAAAATTATTTATTTTCTTAAAAATTTGCTAACATAAAATTTAAGTTTGGTAATTTTACTAATATATGGTTAGATATTTTTTGTTTTTTATGATACATTAGTTGAAATAGATTTATCTAATATATGGTCAATTGATAAATAAATAACAATAAAAAATAATGAATAAAAAAATCATACTATCAAATATATAATATATCAAATGTTTAAATCTTTATTTATTAAAAAAAATTTTTTATACTTTATTACTTATAATAATTTATAAAATAAAAACTTGATACTATAGAAATCATTTCCAAGCTTTAATTTTTTATTGTAAGGTATTTTTTAAATTGTGATCATTATTAATTATTAATTAATTTTTATAACTTTAAATAAATATAAAATTTATAACAATAGTAAATATATTAAAATATGTTATAAAATATGTTATTATAAATATTAATCTACAAAAATAAGTATTTTTTATAAAATTTTATGCTTTAAAAAACTATAGAAGAACCTATGTATTATTTGTTTTTTAAAAAATTAATATCTTTAATAATTTGATTTTTATTAAAATTTGATAAAAAAATTTTTTAGATAAAAAAAATATATTTAAAAAAGTAAATTTAAAATTATATTAAAATTAAAATTAATTATATTTTATAATTATTAAAATAAGTTTAATTTTTTTATATTTTATAACTATAATTTGATTTTTATTAAATTTTATAATTATAAAGAAAATTACAAAAAATATTAAACTGGTATTAAGATTAAAATAATATTAAAATAGTATTGATTTATAATAAATTTAATATATAAATTATAATCTACTTATATAAATTTAAATAAATTTAAGTATTGTTATAATAAAATTATAGCAGGTTAATTACTTTGATCTATTTTATACTGTATAATAATTAGACAATTTCTGTTCAAAAAAGATATATAAATTTAATCAAAGTTTATAATACTAATACAAATTAGTCTATCGATCTTATGTTCTAAACAATTATTTTATATATAGCAATTCTATTAGCTACTTAATACTGAAATCAAATTATAAAACAATAATTTATCAAATAAAAATAGTTTATTGAATAATTATACAATATCTATTTTGATTTTTCTTACTTTTTAATTATTTTCAAATTATTTATATATTTTTTTATTTTATATACTGTATATTATATTTAATATACTACTTATACTTAATATATCACTTATATCTTATATATTATTTATATTCGATATATTTACCATATTATTTTTATAATTTCTTATTATCTACTTATTACTTTTCCTTATAATAGTATACAAATAATATTAAAATAATAATATATATAGTATAAAAAGTTCAAAATTGAAATTAAACAATTATATATATAAATAAATAAAAATAATATTCAAATTTTAAACATTTTATACTATATACATATATATTAATTA